CCCTTAAACTCTCTCTCACAAAGCAGCCTCAGTTAATGCTCCCAAGTAACTTAGCAGTTTAGGAAAGGCAAAAAAAGCACTCACCTTCCCAGCAGCTCTCTCCTGTATTCTTTCTCCAAGCCCAGCTGGCTCAGTTCTGTTATGCTTTTGTTTCTGGCTCAGTTACTCCCTAGTTCAATAGAAGTATTATTCCTATTCAATAAGAGTATTACTCAGTTACTCCCTAGTTCGATAACAGAGATACACCACAAATTTGCATTTCACTTCTACTCATTTTGATTTCTATATCCAACCAACCACATACATCTTCTGCCAAGGCAATATTCTACCATTTAGTTCCATGGTGATACTAAACTCATTAAGTATCAGAACCATTCATACCACACAGGGTGCTCGATACTTCGCCCTTAAACTATAAGCTGCGTCATGGGATCTGTTATAAGGTACACCACACAAACACAATTACATCAAAATATATGATAGGTAAATGATAATATTGCTTTACACTTTACAAAATTCAAATACATTAAAGTACATAACAGATTAAAAAATAATATTGCTCAGACTGTTCTTTTATGTATTTTATCATTTTAGTACATTGCAAAGCAATATTATTGCTTAATTTTGGTGCCTCACTACTAGTATCTTCATCTGTCATATATATATGGTGGTAAAGTAGAACAATAATTAAAGATTTTATATATACTTCAGAGAGTTTCAGTGGACATGTGACCAAGTCTACATGGAAAAAGAGACAGAATTAGGTTTCCTTCTCATATACAAACTAAGACGAATTTCTGATCCTCGTGGATTAGGTTCATCTATTTCACTGACAAAGAAATGCCTAAATCAAAAACTGACCCCCCCCCCCAAAAAAAAAAAGCCCCTGCAGGGGTGCTGCTTTATCAGGAACAGCTTTTAAAACCATCTTTTCCTTTCAGGACAAAAAATTACCAAAATGTGCAAAGTATGCATAGAAAAGGAAACAGAAATGTATACTGCCTTCTGATTCAAGTGACAGACACAGTAGCACCCCATTCATACACGCAACTGACAATCTGGAGACCTATTTGCAAATGTGATTTCCTTACAGCATGTAACAGAGGAAGATCCATCAGGGCATAATATTTCCTTTTCACAGCCTGTAATAGGGAAAGCCCATCTTGAGCTTCCTAGGCTACCTTGCGGGATTGCAGTCTTTGCCTGCTTCAGAAGTAATTGATCTTTTTTTGTTTTAAAACAGGCACTTAGGACCAATTCTGGCAACTGAGAACAGCTTTGACTGAGGAGCTAAACTTCTGTCCTCCTGCCAAACAATAAATATTGTCTAAAATTGATGCTTGTCATTTGTATTGAATCTACATTACTACAACACAGCACAGCATCCATCCACAGATACAGCTAAATAAGGAAATACCAAACATTAGCAATCTTTCTATACCCTTCTTCATTAGCCCCAGTCATGCTCCATTATCCTTGGGCTGTCCAGAATGTTTGGAGTATTCATCTCGAGTTTAGAGGATTTTTTGGCAAGCCTAAAGATGTCAATTTGATCTCAAAAGAAAGACTGGATAATGCAGTGTAGTGCCTCCAAGATTAGCAAGCAAAACTCAAGAGACAAAAATTTAAGCCACAGAAGGGGAAGAGAAATTATGTTTTGACATCCTTATTTATATTTCTGCAATGTATAGGCCTGTCTAGGAACAGATGCAGAAAACTATATAATACAAATACAATATCATATAAAAACAAACTCTGTGTTAGGAGACCCTAAATTTATATCTGGAAAGCACAAAAATGAAAGAAGGAAAAACAGAAAGCAGCCTACACAGTCTGACAGCTGCCATGTGTGTATGATAGTAAGTCTATATTGTCTGGGGAGGAGATGGAAATCATAGAACATCAGGTCTTCACTGCTAACACTCTGCCACTCCGAACAAGCAATTAGAATAGGAAGAAGCAAGGGAACAGGGTGCCATAAATAGCAGGTGTTAGCAAATGATTCTCACAGTCAGTCCAGCTATCTCAAATTTGACAAGCAAAAGTCAATCATATCAAACAGGAAACAATCATGAAACTGTCTGGCAAGCCTCAGAACTAGAAAGATTGACCGAACATGGAAACAGCTGACAAATGAAAGGCAATGTGAAAGGATGGGGATAAACATAGGGGCATAAACACTGCATTATCTAGTCATGGACTATTTAGCAATATGATTAGCCAGAAATAACCCCTCAAATATTAAAGCATTGTACGTGAGTTTAAGTTGGTGCAGAGTCACCTACAGTACATTTGATATATCATACCACATAAACTGAGCAAGCACCACATACATACCAGCTGATTACTGTGTATGCACTGTTTATTATGAAGCACGTTAGGGTTACCATATATTCAAAAGCAAAAAAGAGGACATATCTCCCAACTGACTACTTAAAACAAGTGATCACTATGACAAATCTCATTTTAAATACCCCTACTATTTAAGATGTGATAATTGCTACTAACCTGGAATATTTCTAACCTTCCAACCCAAAAAGCGGACATTTTCATCAGTTTTTTTAAAAAGAACCCAAAAGAGGATGGACACCAAAAAGAGGACATATCCATTTTGGAGGACATCTGGTAACTGTAAGGTACGTACTGCAATTGATTTTAACGTTTTATTAACTCAGAGTGTACACTGCTTCATTGGATAAGGCATTAAAGAAACCTAAAACGAATTAAGGCTCCTTAGTAAAAAAAAAAAAGTCCTAATATTAGGGGAGAAACTAGAAAATTGAAACCTAACTGAATTTATATGATCATAAACTAAAGTCTGCTCACTATATGGTTCAGGAGAGGTTTTCAGATTCCATTGAGAGCTTCCTGCCAAAAGTTAAGTTTCTTATTCTTGTCCTCTCTTGGAGAACATTTAGTATATGGGCTTAACAGAAACAGGCGGCCAGCCTTCTAAGCCCTGTAAACACTGCTTCAGATAACAGATTTAACTTCTAGAATTCTGTACCTATGCAAGTATGTGCCTTTTTTCTTCTACTACTCTGGAGCAAAAGGATACAAAAGATAACTGGCACAGTAAGAAGATAGGAATATTAGGTGGTGAGAAGCATCAGGCAGGGGTTGGGGGTGTTGGAACATACAAGGTCTACAGTGCACCTACTTGAAGAAGATCAGAAGAACAGCCTACAGGGGACAGCTGAAGGACTGCTAGTTAGCATAGCTAGATTAGGGATTTTCCACAATTGCAAATTATGTCTTTCCTGTCTCCTGATAGGTTCTTTGGAGACTTCCCGCTCCAACTGAGCCCTCCCCCTTCGTTCCTCTCTCTCACACAGCAGTTAGTTAAGCCTCTCTGCCTCTCCTCTGGTCTATCAGTTTTTCTTCTTTAATAAACTGAGTTATTTTCTTTAAACGGAGTTATTATCTTTAAACAGTTGGTGCTCCATTCCTCTGCATGTTTAAACTCTGCCAACAGGGGACAGTACCACATGCTGAGCCACTACTGGCCCCAGGAATCTAGATCCTTGTTTATTAGCATACTTCAATACAGGGAGGTGTGATAATGTAACGTTTTAAAACAGCTATGTTCAAAATAATGTGTCTAGCCAAGTTTATTCAGAAGTGAGTTGCAAGAATTTAAACTGAGCATACTTGTAAAGCTGTGCACAGAATCACATCTTAAGTAGAGTAACTTATCAACAAACTGAAAGATTGCTAGCTATATTATGTTTATTTCTTTGAGATGGTTAATTTCCAAATTTAAAAAATTATCTACATAGGTGCCATGGTTTCCAAACTCGGGGGGGGGGGTCCTCTTTTAAGAATCATAGCTCATTTGAAAACTATATACTGAATGTTACTCTTCTGATTTTAAGGTGCATATCAGGCAGATGAAACTCACCATAGCATGCTTAGTTTTCATAATACAGAAAATGCTTTATTTTCCTCATATTTTATTTTCTTCTTTCATACTTTATTTTCTTCTTTCTTTTTATAATCAATATACAGCATGTGTGTTTTCCATACAAATCACTCCAAATAATATATGCTACGTTTTGCAGAGCCATTTGGCCAGATTCTAATAACCCCTCTTGGGAGCTGACACCAACTTTCAGCAGTAGCCCATAGCTGCAGATTAGCGCAAGAACATATGCTGCAGTGGCATCCAGCTCTTCCTTTATAATGAACACCAGATATTCTGGGATAACAAACCAAATAAAGCCAACTGACTTCTCTACTGATAAAACACACTGCAAAATCCTGCATTTCACATCACAAGCATTCTCTCTGGTTTCTCTACAGAGTTAAATAAAGAACACTGTGCATTATTCATGGGTTAGCAACCTGCTAGCAAATGCACAACATTTTAATAATGTGCTGAGCTAGTGTATTTCCACTCATATAAAACAACCTTAAAAAAATACACAATATGTGTCTTAGTTTTTCACACAGCAACTTGAAAAACAAGATTTCAGTATTTATTTAAATAGCCTGAATTATAAGATTTATCCACCTAGGCATCATTTAATCTACTTCAAGAACGAATTAATCTTCTCATAGTGGCAGAGTTTTTGTTGCAAATATTAAGATGAAAAATCAGGTTGAAAATTAGCCTAAACAAAATATTACATTTTTTCATATTTTCTTTTTCTTCACAAAGTATTGCAAATAAGACATCCCAATAAGATACAGCCTTGTCATATTCCATTACTTCAGTTAAATATCAATTATTTAATATTCAGGAAAATGAACATGTGCACCAAGACCAGCAGAGAAATCTGTTTCTTTATCTCGCCTTCAGCAATTAAGTCTGCTTGAGGGGAGAAAATAAACAGATATTTTACAAATTTATAAGCACTAGGGAAACCTATGAGATTTTTTAATATCTATGTCACTTTAGTTGTAACATAGCTCTATGAAAGCAAATCAGCAACACAGCTAGAGGATTTTTTTCAGACAAATTAAAAGGCTGACACATTTGAAACAGGTCCAATACTCACTGAAGGCTGCAACTGCAAGTGCTAGTGTGACAATAATGGAGGCCCATGAAACCCACAGTGCCTTCTTTCTGTAGCTCTGAGCTTCATGAGGTTTTAACCTGGTACTGCTTTCTAGCAAACCTGATAAACAGAATTAAAGAAAAATGTGTGAGAATTGCTTTATACCTTTTAACAAGCCACAACGGAGTCCTTTCAGAATCAAAACAAGCATCCTTCCTCCCCTCCACTTCACCATGTATATTCACCATATAGTTCACCTTACTAAGTTAATAAAGGAACAAAGCTTATTCATGGGCTCTAGTGAACAAACAGAATAGGGTTATGTTCCCGGCTTTGCAATTCAGAAGGAGATACTAGGCTGCTCTTCCTAGAGAGCATTACAGCAATAAAGGTATAACACATGTAGATTTCACAGCACCTTTGTAGTTGTATTTTTACATTTACACTTCAGTGCCTAAATAAATCTCAGACATCATAGCAAATGCTTATTTAACCAGATGCACAACCCAAGTATTACCTTGTTTATAGACTAAAATATATCATAACTATAGAGATATACAATAACTACACCAGGTATATTTTAAGAACCTATCTAGCAGAAATGGGAAACAGAGATGACAATGGAATTCATTGTTACACAGCTATCTCCCCCTGATTCTTTTGTTGCTTCAGTTCTCAGAGCCGCAGTATGACAGCAAAATTTAGCCAAGATAAAGAGATAGCTCCCCTCTCTTCCTTTTTAATTTGTGGAAACAATTCAAATTCATGCTGAGTACATTTTTCTGTTGGTAACTGCAGAGACACATATATGTAGACTAACATCAGCCCAAGAATTGAACTAGACAAAGCCCCATTGAATACGTAAGTCCCAGTCTGAAGGACTAGATTAATCATCTTTGTGAAAAATAAAAACAAAAAAATCAGATATTGATGATTTAAACAGATAATAAGAAACTTTTAAGACAGCTGCTTGCTATTAAAATACTTCCTATCTTTTAAAAAGAACCTCTCTTTTAATTAAAATGTACAAATAATTTGCATTTAAAAATGTGTTATTCTCCTCCCCTTTTTTACACTACTTGTTTCTTAGAGTCTAAAATGATTCACTGTATTTAATTAAAACTGACCTTTCTAAAACACATTGGCTTATATATATGGGAAGTCCTTGGAGATTTCATGCTAATACGTACATGTATCTTTATTCATTAATCCATTATATTCATTTATCATCTATATTCATTCATTTACTAATACATAAAATGAAAATAATTTCATATGCAACATCTGCCCTTTACAGCTAACATTGTATAGACAGATCTTTTTCTTTGCTGTGTTTCAACATTGATTTATAACAGAGGTAAAGCCTACATTGTAATTAAAAGACAGGATCACATTTGTAGCCAAGATTATTCCGTTTTAATGCTATCATGCTAAATGCTTTTACATCAGGTAACATTAACACTGATAACGATGTGATGAAATGTCACCTGCCTTCAAAAAACCACAATTTTAACTGACATGGAGACACCTCCCAGCTGATGAATACACGTAAGTTTAAACAATGCACATTTTCTGTTTCAAATGTTTAAAACCCGTTTTATTGTGCATATGTTCTCTGAATTCTAACAAAATCAAGTCCCTCTCATTATTTAAAAACCAATTTTTAAAAACCTTGTTCTACAGACAAAACTTCTAAGATGACTGAAACAAAAAAAATATTCATAACTTTATAATCCCTTGGGCAGCTTGTAAAGTACGAAACCAGGATGGATATTAAAACCAATCCTAAACTTTCCTTGGAAATAATGATAACCGAAATCATTGGTCTGAGCAATTAATGGAAATCAGCTAATGGAATTGTTTTGTCCCATCTTTTATTTCCCATTTGGCTGGGACCTGTCTTCCTTTTCAGTATCATCCTGCAGCTCTCACATAAATAATCACATATTCCTTGCCATATTATACAAAAAGTGTGCATTTATCAGGCAACAGTCCCAGCTAAAGTGAGGTGTTTTTTTTTAATTCTGCCCTCAAAACTCTTAAATTTGGGCCTCAGACAAATCTGCAGATCTTTCCCACTTACATCCAGAATATGTAAGTAGCTGCAAGATGCCTTCAGCCTCACACTTAAAGAAGCCGCTCTTAGTTAAAAGACACACAAACACTACACCATTGTTTCTAAATTGTAGCCAGGGTATCTTCTAGTAAAATCAGCACCCCTTTTTACAACTGGAAAACTGAAGGGGAACTGCATGAAGCAGCCAAGAAGAGAGAACAAGAAGAAGGTGGTTGGAAAGATTAAAGGGGGGGGGATGACTATCTCTGGAGAAAAGTAGAATGAAGTGGATTTTTAAAAAGTGCTTTCTGAGAGAGACTGAATAAAATGTCAAAGCGAGTGAATAGACACGTGCAGGGCAGGTGCCTGTATAGGGGAGACAATGGGCTAAATGTCACTTCCCTCTAAGAAAGGGTGGGGAGTGGATAAACAATGTCCTTTCTTGGCAATGAATGGGGAAGCCTGTCTGCATTTTACTGAATGCTGTTTAAATTGGGTTTTGAATAGAGGTGGTGGGACGTTCATAAAAGGGTGGGTTGTTTGGGGTGGGGTTTTTTTTAGGCAATTCTGCCCTGCGGGTGTCTTGGGGTTTCTTTAAACTCAGCTATACATATAATTGGCTGGATATGATTGGCTGCAGAAGGGATTTTTTAATTATTATTAAATCAAGGGTGACTATAAGGATAGAAAATGAAGACAAGAAGGGGTTGGGATGGCAAGTGACAGGACAATGACAACAGGCATGAGAGATGTGGAAACCGGCAGCCAGATGTAGCGAGAAGGCTGTGGGGAAGACAGAGCAGAAGGCTGTGGACTAGCACGGATGTAGCCAGCGAGGCTTTGGATCTGCAAGGCACCCTAGCCGGTGATGAGTGTATTCAGTCAAGGATGATGCAGGACTGAATAGGTTCCAGCACCACAGAATACAATGGGGGGGGGGGGCAAGTGGTTCCCTGAGGTGATATATATAAATAAATAAATAATATAATACGATGGGGGGGCGGGAAGCCTTTTCAGGTGCGCGAGAAGGCGCTGGCTGCGACGCTGAGGGAAAAGTGGGCTCGGGAAGAGCTGTCAAGGAGGGGACGTCCTGTCTCGAGCCAGAGCTCGAGAGCGAAAGGGGCGCGTGCCAGAGGCCCGGCCGGCTACCTGAGGGGGGGGGGAGGGGAGGAGAGGGGCTCACCTCGGTCTTCCAGCTCTTCGCTGAACTGCGCGCTCTCCCCGAGGTGCAGCTGCTCCCCTTGCTGCGAGTCCCGGGCAGGGTAGGGCGGGGGGGCGGTCGTCCCGGCAGGCTGGACAATAGTGGGCTCTGGGGTGCTGCCCAGCTCGTCCCCGGCTGCGGGCGCCTCCATGGCAGAGCGCGGTGCGGAGGAGGAGGAGGAGAAGAAGAAACGGGGAGGAAAAAGCGCGCGGAAGAAGGGCGAGCGCGGCAGAAGCGCTCCCCGTCCACAGCACCCCCTGAGGAGAGTCCCGCGCCCACCCCTGCCGCCGCTCGGCTTCGCCTCAGCCGCTCCTCCTCGCACAGCCACTGCAGGTGGGACCCACCGGCGGCTTCTGCCGCTCGCTCCTCCCACCGCGCTCTAACCCCCTCCCCACACTCGGGGGGGCTGAGACCGCATTTTAACCGCCAGGACTCCTTGCGGCGACCAGGGCAGGGTAGGGGAGCGGGGCGCTCAGGCTTGGGTTCAAGCCCTTTCCCCTCCCACTTCCGCTGGGAACCGGCCACCACGACTTGGAGCGAGCCGCGGCTAGGCTCGCTCGTCGACCCGCCACCAGAGCGCAAGAAGAACCTGTTTGGAGGTTCAGGGCTTGCAGCTGGCGCAATGTAATTGAGGTTCCCGTCTAGGGCGAGTCACGACGCGCTTAAAATCACCCCGCTTATTCGGAACGCTCGCCTTCCAGAGCCGAACGAGGTGAGGGCGCTGCGGCTAAACAGGTATAGGTGTGTTTCGTGCTTGACTGAGCCTCCTTGAGTGGTAAAGGGAGGAAGGCGGGGAGGTTATTATAGAGGTGATAAAGAAGAGCGCTGGAAAAGGTGCGTAATGGCTGTAGCAGAGAGTGAGAGCATATCTGGGCATGTGCAGGTTGCATTGTTCTTGCTGCTGCGGTCTTAGACGGGTCTTCTGGCAAGAACTGCCATGTAGAAAGTATGTTTTCCAATCTCCAGGTGGGGCCTGGAGATCTCCTGAAATTATAATTGATTCCCCAGCTGCAGAGACCAGTTCCCCTGGAGAAAATGGCTGCTTTGGAAGATGGGCTGTATGGCTGGTGTGATGTCCTTCCCCGGGCCCCACTCTCAGATCTTTCCCAACCTGGAGTTAGCAAAATTTTGAGAAAGAAAAGCCCCATCCTCTTGCATTTATTACTCCTTAGTAATCCTCATATCTACCAAGGGTTTGCAATAGTTATTTTCATTTTCCATGGCAGACATAGCTGAGCTTACTCGCATGAGATTGGGCTGTACAAGAATTTATGCTGGCACTAGTCCTATGCAGACATTTAGGATACAAAAAGAGGAGGGGGATTATAGCAGCAGGCTGTGTGTTGGGTCAGGCTGTGCACATTGTCGCCTGTGTGACTGTGTACAGATAGGAAATGCATGAGCAGTACTCTGTAAAAAGTTAGGTGAGGAAGATAAATTAAGAAGAGAAAAAATGTTGTTTTATTTTCCTGTAACACAATAAGATGGAGCTGCGGTGGCTCAAGTGGTTAAGACGCTGAACTGCAGGCTGTGGAAGGTCCGTAGTTCAGCAGTTCGAGAACCGAGTGTGTCGCATGATGGAGTGAGCTCCCGTCTCTAGTTCCAGCTCCTGCCAACCTAGCAGTTCGAAAGCAAGAAATTGCAAGTAGATAAATAGGTACCACTTCGGTGGGAAGGTCACAGCGTTCCGTGCCCCTTGGTGTTTAGTCATGCCGGCCACATGACCACAGAGATGTCTTCAGACAGCGCTGGCTCTTCGGCTTTGAAATGGAGATGAGCACCGCAACCCTAGAGTCGGACTCGAGTGGCTTTCGAGCAAGGGAACCTTTACCTTTAAGGTGCTACTGGACTCTTACTCTTTTCTACTGCTACAGACAGACTAACACAGCTACCCATCCTCATGTAAAAAGTTAGGGTATACCAAGCCCACAGTTCTAATCTATTACATGGTCAAAAGAAACAATGGCAGTCAAGTGCACAGATGGGGTGGGGCTAGCCAAGCTTCTTTCTCCTCCTCCTGATCTACAGTTGTTTCTGAATGTTCACAGACATTCTGCCTGCTGAGGAAAATCATCAGCCAAGGAATGTTTCACAACCGTTTAGCTTTGTGGGTGGCTAACAGTGCAGTCTTAAGTACGCTTTCCTGGAACTAAGGCTCACAGAATATTCTTGAGTAGACCTGTTTAGGATTGCTCTCTAAGTAACCTAGCTGAGGAACAATCTTCCTGGATGAATGTGGTGGAAGGAAGGGAGACTGAAAAGCTCAGTGGGAAGAGATTCTCATAGCAAGGAAGCTACAAGTAATTGAGAACCCTGAGGCAAAAAAGGCTGCTAAAAATCACCATGAGCCCCTGAGCAAACTCTCCCTGTACTCCCACACAGGTCTAAAGAACATTTAAAGATTAGAAGGAAAGAAAGAGAAAAAGGGGATATGCAAACCAGGAAAAAAGTGAAACAAGTGTCTCTGAACTCAGCGGGGTTTACTTCTTCTTTACTCTCTCTAAGCATAGCAAACCAAAAAGAATCACTGATGCTTTCAGAATAAATCTAGGTTCTGCCACTTTAACCCTTTTCTTAGCTGTAAAGAATAGCTACAGAAGAGCTCTTGCTATGATTTCAAGCCAAGGAAAGGGTTAAGCTGATCCATTGTGGATTGATAGGGAGGCTTCTAACTGTTGTTGAAGCCCTCAAATTTAAGCTCTTGGCCAAAACCAACAAGCATCATGCCTGCTGTTCCCTTACTGTCTCCCCAAGAACAAACTGAGGCAGGTAGACTGCCAGAACAACCCAACCCCTGGATATTTTGCATCCCTAGTCTTCTTCTTTTAATGGCCCTTAGAGAAAAGAATTTGAGTAGACAGTGTAAAAACAAAGAGATGGATAGGAGAAGAGGAATGGCCTAAGAAAAAGAAAGGCAAAGACAAGGGAGAATTAAGGGGCCAATGAAAGACAGCTGTAGCTTTGGTCTTCAGGGTAAGACCTTCATAGTCTTTGGGTGTGAGTTGGGACAGAACACTATGTTGGGGGTTAGGAGCAGAAAGGAAGTGTACAAGCCTTGGAGTTTGGAAGCTCATGGTCTGTGGAGCCTACAGTATATAAGAGCCAGATCCTGACAATTGCCCAGAAGAAGGAGGTGTACCAGGTATGATTATTCTTAATACTGGTTCTTAAGAAGAAGAAGAGATTGGATTTATACTCCACCGTTCACTTGGAGTCAATCCAAGACAATGCATTGTCTTGAGCTTCATTATCAACTGCAATTCATGTGTTCTGCAATTCTCTTTCTAATCTCCCTTTGAAATTCCTTTCTAAGAGAACTGCTACTTTTAGGTCAGCAAATTAATGTCCTGGAAGGTTAAAATGTTCCCCTTTGGTTTTTTAATGTTGTGGTTCCTAGTAGACTTATTCCATTAATTCTTCATTGAAGGAACTGGCCTGTTTGTCCAATATAGAGGGTGGAAGGTCTTTGTTGACACGTGATGACATAAATCACATTAGAGAATGAGCAGGAATATGAACCTGAGATGGTAAGGCTGATGTTGCTGGGTCCACTGATGGTGTTGCTAGGCAGGGCCAGCCCGAGGGGTTTGTGCGCCCTAGGCGAGGCCACCTCGTGGCGCCCCCCTCAGATGCCAACCTCCAGGTGGGGCCTGGAGACCTCCCAGCTGGCCACCTGGGAGGGGGAGACAGAGTGACACCACGTGACGCACTGGCTGCACACGTCGCTTTAGACCGGGAGCGCGCCTCTGGTTTGGAAATGGCAAGCGCTCTCCCCCCACACCCCGGCTGGGCCCTTCCCTCGAGCTCTCCTCCAAGGGCATAACCAGGCCCTCCTAAGGAGGCGGTGGCGGGGCAGCTCCGGCAGGCATCAGCCTGGGCCTCCCTCCCCCCCCAGGCCAGGCCACCTACCCCAGCACAGGGGGGCCACCAGTGCCCCCACAGTCAGGCGGCACAGGCCATCCAAGTCCGCTCAGGCACTGCGGGAAGGACGAGGGAGTCTGCGTGCTTCCTTCTCAGGCATCTTCCCCAGCCGGGCGGGGTGTGAGGCGAGCTCCGTGACGGGTCTCCCCCTGGGACCGCCGAGCCGGTTCTCTTTGCGCTGGCTGGCGGAGAGGAGGGAGCGCAGCAAGCCCCACCGCTGGGGCCCGGAGAGAGCGCCTGCTGCCCTGGCCCTGGCCCACAGGATGAGGAGGGGCTGGCAGGCAGGCAGGAGCGCACGCCACCCCCCGAAGCCCGGCTGGTCGCCTCCACATGTGCTCCCTACCCCCCCGGCGGCAGCCTGAAGAGGTGTAGAAGCGCTTGGCCATGCCCCCCCATCCCCGCAGGCAGGCAGGCCCAGCCAGGGGCGCCGTGCTCCTCTCCACTCTCTCCCTCCCTCCCCCAGCCAGCGGCCACCCGAGTCAGCTTCCTGGGGAGCCAAGGGATTTTAGCCCCAGCTGAGCGGAGCCGGAAAAAACAACCCCATCGGATTCTTCCCCCCCACACACTGCGGGGGCCAATCCCTGCACCGTAGTCCTCAACACGCCGGGTGGATGCAAGGCACCGGGTTGGCAGATCTACCCAGGAGGACTCCTGCCCGTTGCAGGCAGCTCAGTTGCCCCGATGGATCTTGCAAGCCCCGCAGAAGGACAAGACAGGCATGGACAGATACGACCGAGTCCCGGCGGGGCCTGCTGCTTCTCTCCGGGTTTCTTTCCCTTGCATGTCGCATTAAGCTTCTTCCCCGAGCGAGATCCTCCTCCTCCGCGGAGACCCAGGGTAATCCAAACGGCTTGCATGTGCTCGGCAGGGACGGTGGGGGGCTTGGGGGGGCAGCAGGGCAGTTGGCACCCTGGGCGGAGCTGTGCCCTAGGCCAGACACTAGCTGGCCTAGTGAGAGAGCCGGCCCTGTTGCTAGGATCTCTATGAGAACAAAATTGGCATCTTTCTTTGTTGCAGGCCCAGAGTCAGTAGTTAAGTAGTTTGTCATTGCAGATGAGAAGTTGATTTAGATTAGCAGACTGTCTGTAAGCAAAAAAAAGTCACCCACCCCCAGTGCCTTTGTAAGGGAAGTGTCACTATCCAGCATGGGTTGTAGGTCATTAATAATGTGTTGAACTGGCTTGAGTTCTGAGTTGTAGGTGACCACCTGTGGTATTCTGTTATTATTCT